CTTTCTTTTTTAACTTATATTTCATGTTCGGAGGCCCGTGTGCAGCTTTGTTATATAGGTACAGCTGTGTCACAGGGGTTTTGTGTACAGATTATTTCATCATCCACGTACTAAGCCTAAAACCCAGTAGTTATTTTTTCTGCTCCTCTCTCTCCTCCCATCCTCCACTCTCTAGTAGGTCTCAGTGTCTGTTGTGACCTTCTTTCTGTCCATGTGTTCTCATCATTCAGCTCCCACTTAGAAGTGAGAACACGTGCTGTTTGGTTTTCTGTTCCTGCGTTAGTTTGCTGAGGATAATGGCTTCCAGTTCCATCCATGTTCCTGCAAAAGACATGATCTTGTACTTTTATGGCTGCATAGTGTTCCGCGGTGTATGTATACCACATTTTCTTTTCTCTTTAAAAGTATGATTATACTTTAAGTTCTGGGGTACAGGTGCAGAACATGCAGGTTTGTTACGTATACATGTGCCATGGTGGTTTGCTGCATCCATCACCCGATCATCTACATTAGGTATTTCTCTTAATGCACTCCCTCCCCTATCCCCCCACCTGCTGCTACCCCTACCCTAGCCCCTCACCCTGCAACAGGCCCCAGTGTGTGAGGTTCCCCTCCCTGTGTCCATGTGCTCTCATTGTTCAACACCCGCTTACTGTACCATATTTTCTTCATCCAGTGTACCATTGATGGGCATTGAGGTGGATTCCATGTGCTTGCCCTCAGCACAGGCTTCCAAAATCCTAGCGCTGTTCCCTTCTAGGGCTGCCAGGGTTACTAGTAACTAGCACTGGCCTATCTTGGTTTCAGAACAGCTGCTTCTATCCAGCTCATGGATCAGGGTGTCAGAAAGTAGAAGATGCAGAGTTCCCTCATCCCTCCAACTCTCTTGCACTTTATTTATTTATTTCTTTATGTTTTTGAGACAGGGTCTCGGTCTGTCACCCAGGCTGGAGGGCAATGGCCTGGTCATGGCTCACTGTCTCAGCCTCCCAGGCTCAAACACCCTCCTGCCTCAGCCTCCTGAGTAGCTGGGACCATAGGTGGTCACCACCATGCCTGGCTAATTTTTAAATTTTTGTGGAGATGGGGGCTCTTTATATTGCCTAGGCTGGTCTTGAACTCCTGGCCCTGAGAGCTCCTTCTGTCTCCGCCTCCTAAAGTGCTGGGATTACAGGCATGAGTGGCCAGTCCCCTGTACTTTATGTGCAGTAATTCACAAGGCTCGTCAGGTCCAAATGCCAGTCAGACAGAGCTGTGAACACCAGAGTTGTAGCACAGTAGCCTGGTTTCTATTAACCTCGGTGATGGTCCCCAAGCCACTTAGAAAACGAACAGTAACAACAAACTAGGCTTATTGAGGCTCACATGCTACTCTTTAAGTTAAAAGCACAGTAAACTAGTTTTTATCTGGTTTTGCCACCATAAAATATGTCTGTGCATTTTTCTGATTGGTAATACACTTTGGAATAAAACCATTTTATCATGATTCATACTGATCACATTTTGAAAAGCAGCTTCATAAAGATATAATGAGATCGACAATGAGTTGACTTTAGCTTGGGGGAAGAAAAGAAGCTACTGGAAGGTTTCCACCTTAACTGAAATAAACTTGGATTCGCGGCCAGGTGCGGTGGCTCATGCCTGTCATCTCAGCACTTTGGAAGGCCGAGGCGGGTGGATCACCTGAGGTCAGGAGTTTGAGACAGGCTGTCTAACATGGTGAAACCCAATCTCTACAAAAAATACAGAAATTAGCTGGGCATTTTGGAAGATGCCTGTAATCCCAGCTATACGGGAGGCTGAGGGAGGAGAATCGCTTGAACCCCAGAGGTAGAGGTAGCAGTGAGCCAAGATTGTGCCACTGCACTCCAGCCTGGGTGACAAGAGTGAAACTCCACCTCAAAAAGCAATCAAACAAAAACAAAAATCTTGGATTTGCAATAAGTGGTGGTGATTCACCTAGTATTTCACATGAGCATGAGATTCGCCTGAGAACACTTGTCTCCAGAGACTGATCAAAGGAACTCCAAATTCTTGGTATTTTGCACTCCCCTGAAACAGCAAGCCTCTGGTGGTGTGGTCGTGACGTTTAGGCTGCAGTGGCCTAGGCATGGGAGCCGGAGCACCACGCCCAGCTAATTGTTTTGTATTTTTAGTAGAGACAGGGTTTCACTATGCTGGCCAGGCTGGTTTCTTACTCCTGACCTCAGGGATCCACTCGCCTCAGCCTCCCAACGTGCTGGGATTACAGGTGTGAGCCACCGCGCTCAGCTCCAGGTGACTAACTCTCATTGTGACCAACCAGGTTAGGCCAGACCCCTCCATGGCTCATTCTCCTGGAGAGGCTGGTTGGAGAGCCTGTCACTGTGACAGTGTCACCTGTCGCACTGTGGCTCCTTCACTGGTCTCAAGCCTCTTTGAAGGCAAGGCCTGTGCTGTGTTTGCTCAGACCTGACCCCTTCGAGCGTGGGCTCACAGTAATGCCAGTGTGTTCGGTGGGAGAATGAGTGAGCTCCACCTGCTATCCCAGCATGCCCTACCCTACCCAACTCCAGTCCTAAATAGTGGCATAGATCATAAGCAACTCTAAAACTGTTGTACCAGCGTGGTGGATACTGATTAAAATATTTAAAGAATCGCATATGATATAGGGTGTTCCAGAATCATTTGCGATATATGTTATTTGGCATCACACTATCAGGGCCTTAAAGAATCCCCTTCTCTCATTAAAATATAGTAGTTCCTATTAGGAGCATTTCAGACCCAGTAGCAGCTACCCGATGCGTGTTTATTGATGGGGTGATGGCAGCATCTTTAGTACAGAGGTAATTGATTTTCAGTGACAAGCCGGAGGCTCCTTGATGAATGAGCAAATGACCCTTGCAAGATGCAGAATTGCCTCGTGAATGAAAGCAATTATTTCACTGCAGTCTTACTGTTAAGTGCTTTTATTGGATTTCAGATTTTAAAAATTAGTAATTCCTGCAGGGAAATGCCACAACTGTGTGGAACAGGATATGTGACTGACAACTCACAGCACCCTTGGCTGTTGCCGCTGCCCCACTCCCTGTTCTCTGAGGGACGTGCAGGCTGCTGTGGACTTTCTTGTTTCTGTCAGACAATCTCTGCAGGCCCTGGAGGGAGTTGACAAACCAGTGACTTAGGGAATGGATGCTCGCCTTGCACTTTCCTTTCCTCATGGTTGTTTTAGCAAAGCGGAGCATTCTGTGGGCAGCTCCAGAGTGCTTCTCCAGCTGCTAAGAGCGGGCAGTGCCACTCAGATCCAGAATCAATGTCCATTTATTCAGTCCCACTGTTTCCTGGGTGCTTTCTCTCTCTCTCTCTTTTAGATGGAGTCTTGCTCTGTTGTCAGGCTGGAGTGCAGTGGCACGATCTTGGCTCACTGCAACCTCTGCCTCCCGGGTTCAAGTGATTCTCCTGCCTCAGCCTCCCGAGTAGCTGGGACTATAGGCTCACACCACCACGCCCTGCTAATTTTTGTATTTTTAATGGAGGCATGGTTTTACCCTGTTGGCCAGGATGGTCTCGATCTCTTTACCTTGTGATCTGTCTGCCTTGGCCTCCCAAAGTGTTTGGATTACATGCGAGAGCCACTGTGCCCGGCCCTCCTGGGTGCTTTCTCTAAATGCAAGATTCAGTCCAATCCTCTGGGCACCCTGGTGGCTTGGGGTTCACTGTGCACTTTTTTCACAGGTGGAAACCAAGACTCAACTCAGGGAGGTTGGAGAACTTCCAAGGTCATGTCAAGCGCTCTTGTCTGCAGACTCCCAGGCCCACTCCATTCCTTGCTATTTTTTGGTTATATCCTCATGAGGCAAGGCCAGTAAACTTTTTGCAAATACATGGTTGAGAGAAGAAGTAGCCCAGGGCAGGGAAGGTGACTCTATGATTGCCGGATAACAACTAAGTCAGAAAATTCTAAACCAGCTACGGGAACATGGAGTCTAGCAATCTTTCTAGGATCTCAGTTGTTTATGCAGTCCTGGGTGGGATTTATCTGCTATAATTTGTCAATTGAAAAAGCAAACAGTTTCAATTCAGTTGTGGAAAACTGCATTCAGGAACAAGTGACAGAATAATCACTGAAGGAAAATGTTTTTGGAAAGCATTAGGCAAGAATTTATGAGAAAATGAAAGACAGGCTCTCCCCTCATCTCACTCTGTACAGCTTCCCCTGGAGACTGCAAGCCAATGAGAAGCCAAGTTGAAATGTAAGGCCAGCCAATCAAACACCTTATCACGTAGGCTGTGCAGGTGAAACAAAGGTACCATGCCTGGAGGGGAACAGGGAGGAAGGCTTGTGTGCTAGATGGAAGCACCTGGCTGCCCTGGAAAAAGGAGGTCTATTTCATCTAGAAATTGGGTCAGAATACAAGCCAAATCCAGGTACAAAACACCTCCCTTTTCTCCCTTCTGCAAAACATATTTCACAATCAAAGTCAATAACCTAGCATTACCTGCCACATGATTTAAGAAATAGAGAGACTTCCAGCATTCCTCCTTCTCTTCCTCCTATCCTTCTCCCTCTGTGCTGTACCTGCTTCTGCCCACTCCTTCCTCCTGCTCTCCCTCCCTCCATTCATCTGTCTATCCACTTACCTACCCACTAGTGCACATTCCACACATATTTTCATTGGTTGTGATGTTCTAGGGACAGTGCCAGGTTCTGGGGATGCCGCCATTTATAAGAGCATCACAGTGTCTGTTTCTCCTGGAGTTCACAGTCTCAGGTGGGTGCAGACGTGTGACCAGACAATGAAGGGTCCTTCCTGGTGAGTGCAGGAAGCACCTCCTCCGCAGAGCTTTGCAGCATTAATGTGAAGCTCCTGGCTAGTACTACTGCTGCCCCTGCTGCTCAGGGCTGTGCTTACATAACGCCTGCGAAGCACCTCCCTGCTTTCAAGGCTTCACGTATAGTAACTTACTGAATCCTGTAATAACCCTACAACGTTGGTGCTGTTTTTATCCCTTTGCAGAGGAGGAGACTGCGCTGCGGAAGGATCGAGTGGCCTGCCTGAGGTGCCCTGTCTGCTGGCACAGGCCGGAGCACATGGTGGGTGCAGGGGCACCCCGTTCCCTCCCCTCCCCTCCCCGCAGCTTTTTGCTGGCAGGACTCTCCTGCCCTCTCTGACTGTGCCGCTGCCACGTGCCACATCCTCGTCTTCAGTGAAGTCCAGGTGCGGACACTCCCTTCAGGAAAATACCGTTTACACCAGGGAGCTTGGGCTATGTTGAGACGTAAACAAAATATCACCACGGTTGTGGTTCCCCTGAACTCTCGGTGTTTTCTTCTCCTTATAAAATCTTCCTCTTCCGGCAGTGGAAGGGGCTGCAGAAGTTCCTTGACTCAGGAGGCGAGGCATTCAGAGGCCTCGTGACACCTCCCGGGATCCGCAGTCATTGGGCTGCACTTGCCAATAGCAACAAAACAGCAATAGCAAAAACAGCCAAGAGTCAGAGCGCCTGGGCTCAGGAGCTGAGCAAGCCCTGACTGGCCAGATGGAGACTGACAGTGTTGAGCTCTGCCCAAGCCCTGTGACTGTAAACAGTGACGTTAAGGAGCCATCACCCACCCATCTGCTTTCCGGGAAACGGCCCCTTCCTCATAGGATGTCGAGGATTCATGATGTGGCCTCATTTGACGAGCCCAGACACAGCCCTTCCACATTCCAGTTCTTTGCTTCATAAGTGATTAGCTAAATGGTTCTGTTCCCACTGGTCAATCAGAACAACTGCAGACCCTCCCTCATCCATTGTCCAAATATATTACCCTTTTGCCCTACGCCCTAACACCCCTTTCTTTCTAGTTTTGTTCATTCCTCTCTGTGAAAGATGAACCCTCTTTATCTAACCCCGGAGCTGCTTGCAGACTGCTATGATGGCCAGAGCGCCCCTGCCACTGCAGGAGTCCCTTCTCTCCCTCGCAATATCTTTTAAAGAAAACCTCTCCGTATCAAGCCTGGATTTGTATTTTATTTGACTAGAGAGATCCTAGCTGGAAGCTCCTGCATTAATAATGCGGGTACCCGCTCATGAGAACTGGAGAGCTGGTCTCTAGTCAGAGCTGCTGTTGCTGGGGTTGGGCTATTGGGAGTACTGAGTACTGGTGGGTAGGATTTGAGGAAGAAGAGACAGAGAGACGGAGGAAGGAGAGAGGGAGAGAAAGAGAAACAGAGAGAGAGAAGAAAGAAGGAAAGAGGTGGAGGAAGGAGAGAGGCAGAGAGATAGAAACGGAGAGAGAAGAAAGAAGGAAAGAAAGGGGCAGAGACAGAAGAAAGAAGGAAAGAGAGACAGAGGAAGAAGAGGGGGAGAGAGAGACGGAGGAAGGAGAGAGGGAGACAGAGAAACAGGGAGAGAGAAGAAAGAAGGAAAGATAAACAGAGAGAGATGGAGGAAGGAAAGAGGAAGAGAGATAGAAACAGAGGGAGAGAGAGAAGAAAGAAGGGAAGAGAGGGCAGAGCTCCACCCACCTCAGCACAGCCCGCTCTCTGCCCAGCCTTCACAGACTCTGCTCGGTCTGCTGGGGAAGAATGGCTTCATTAACCAAGACTGAAGCTGAAAGGAAGTCCAGACGTGTTGGGGGACGAGCATGAGCACACCAAGCGTGACACACCAACCGTAGAAGCCAGGGCCAGGGCTTTGCAGCAGCAGCCGCTGAGGAATGAGCGCCGCCTTGAACTCACTGAGAGAAGAAATCCCTGGAGGCCTGAGAAGAGGTAAGATTTGGACATGAAACTGAGGTGAGGAGAAGGTTGGGTTTAGAAAGTCTTATTTACATTCAGCAAGAAGAAAACGGATGGGTTTGAATTTTATTTTAGTATTTTTCCTCTGTTTCTTCTGCACGGGGTACTAATGGATGCATGCGTGCCGTGGAGAGAGGGGCTCAAGTTAATAGGAGTTGATGAGTTCCGCAGTCAGCACCAAAACAGCGGTGGTGGACTGAGTGGAAGTGCTGGATGGGAGCTATGGAAAGATGAAAACTGAACTGCTCCAGACTCCCCGTAAATAAGCTTTCTGAAGTCTAGAATTTGGAATAAGAATCCGCACTCCTTATCCATCATGGATGGAGATTTATGAGGAGCACCCGGGAGGTGTCAGTGTACAGTGAGGACGCCGGCACGGATGATACACTCCAGGTGTTACACATCCAGAAGGTCTTACAGTGGATTTCATCACTGTCTTCACTGGGAGACTTGCTTCACCTCCTCAGGTACCCATGAACTTTCTCATGTATCATACATTTAATTAGGTTAATAGCTATACCTTATACATCACTTTAGAAGAGGTGAAGTAAAATAGAGAAAAAGCAGCACATTGCCTGACTCGCTCAGGTATGCAGGGCCGGCTAAGGAGTGGCGAGTGTCAGCGCAGGAATCTCGATCGCCCACCCAGCTCCCTGTGCTCCCAGCTGCGGGAAGTGTTGAACACAGTGTATGTAACCCAGTCGGTATGTGTGCTTCAGATGAGACGACAATCTTTAGTACTTGCTTCTTGTCCCACATTTTCTCTCTGATGTGAATGAAACTTTAAAAAATTGGTATTATAAAAATTGATGTGTATTGTAAACAAGACAAGGGTAATTTATCTACAAAGACTTAGGTGATGTCAAATAATCCTTCCCGTTCCCCAACTTTCTGTTCCTAAGTGCCTTGGGTGTTTTGTGAGAAAATAACCTGTAAGTATAAGCCATTAAAGTGTCTTCGATCCCAAACCATTGATTGTACACCTGCCATCATGATACAATCACTGGAGAGCGTCAGAATCATGAAAGCAGGCCTACAAGAGGCATAGTCTCGGCATCTGCAGGCCTCTAAATTCAGTTTCCAAGCCCTTGTTGAGTGTGCACGCGGAGAGGGCATATCCCACGGGTATTTCATACCCAAAGGGATTGAGGCAGCCTCCCTCCTCTCCTCGAGATGAACATGCCGACGCACCGTGTTCGATGTGCTTCGCTTTACTGAGCTTTGCAGATACTGCGGGTTTTTTTTCTCACAAATGGAAAGTTTGTGGCGGCCCTGCGTGGAGCCACCTGTCATGACCGTTTCTCCAACAGCAGATGCTCACTTCATGTCTCGGTACCATATTTGGGTAATTCTCACAGTATTTCAAACGGTTTTGTTATTATTATGTCTGCTATGTTGATCGGTAACTCTGTGATTGGTGGACTTTGATGTTTCTATCGTAACTGTTTGGGGGTGCACAAACCATGCCCATATTAGGCAGCAAACGTAAGTGATAAATATGTGCGTTCTCACTGCTGCACTGTCCAGCCATCCCCCATCTCTCTCCCTCTCTTTAGGCCTCCCTACTCCCTGAGACACAACAATATTGAAATTAGGCCAATTAAGAACCCTACCATGGCCTCAAGTGTTTAAGTGAAAGGAAGAATTGCACATCCCTCACTTTAAATCAAAAGCTAGAAACGATTAAAGCATGCCCAGCTAACTTTTTTTTTTTTGCAGAGATGAAGGTCTCACTATGTTGCCCAGGCTGGTTTAGAACTCCTGGCTTCAAACAATCTTCCTGCATGGGCCTCCCAAAGTGCTAGGGTTACAGGGATGAACCACCATGACCAGTTTCATCTTGGACTTTGCTCAGTAGAGGAGAAAAGTCTACGCCTGGCTTCAGAGCTTCAAAGGACAGATTGACCCTCTTGTTAGGGGCTAATGCAGCTGATGACTTTAAGTTGAGGCCAGTGTTGATTTACCATTCCCCAAATCCTCAGGCTGTTAGCATTATGCCAAATCTACTCTGTCTGTGCTCCATGAATGGAAAAGCAAAGCCTGGATGACAGCACATCTGTTTAAATGTTGGTTTACTAAATATTTTAAGCCCACTATTGAGATCTACTGTTCAGAAAAAAGATTCATCTCAAAACGTTGCTTCTCATTGACAATACACCTAGTGACTTAAGGTCTGATAAAGACATACAGGGAGATTAATGTTGTTTTATGTCTGCTAACACAGTGCCCATTCTAAAGCCCATAGATCAAAGAGTAATTCTGACTTTCGAGTCTTAGTACTCAAGAAATAAGGCTCAGGTGACTGTTAGTAACTTAGTAGTAAAGTGTTTTTTAGTTAAGATATGCATATTGTTTCATTTAGATGTAATTCTGTTGCATACTGACATGGTTTGGCTGTGTCCCCACCAAAATCTTGAGTTGTAATTCCCCTGAATCCCTACGTATCATGGGAGGGACCTGATGAAAGGCAACTGAATGAATGATGGGGGTGATTCCCCCATTCTGTTCTCGTGATAAGCGGCTGGCAATTCCCTGCTAGCACCTATTGTAAGATCTATTCCTCTAATAGATCTGGGCACAGAAACTAAAAGACTTGTGGAAAGGACTTGCCATTATAGACACTATTAAGAATGTTTGCCATTTATGGGCAGAGGACAACATAGTAATATTAATGGAAGTTTGGGAAAAGTTGATTCCAGCCCTCATGGATGACTTTGAGGAGTTCAAGACTTCAGTGAAGGAAGTACCTGCAGATGTAATAGAAATAGCAAGAGAACTGGAATTAAAAGCAGAGCCTGAAGATGTGACTGAATGGCTGCAATCTCATAATAAAACTTGAGCAGATGAGGAGCTGCTTCTGTGGATGAGCAGAGAAAGTGGCTTCTTGAGATGGAATCTACTCCTGGTGAGATGCTGTGAACAAGGATTTAGAATATTACGTAAGTTAGTTGATAACATAGTGGCAGAGGTTGAGAGGGTTGACTCCAGTTTTGAAAGAGGTTCCATGGTGGGTAAAATGCTATCAAACAGCATTGCATGCCATAGAGAAATACACGGAATCAACTGGCACAGCCAACTTCACTATTGCCTTATTTTAAGAAATTTCCACAGCCAACCCAACCCTCAGTAACCACCACCTGATCAGTCAGTAGCCATCAACGCTGGGGCAAGACCCTCCACCAGGAAAAAGACGATGACTCACCGAAGGCTCAGGTGACTGTTAGTAACTTTTAGTAGTAAAGTGTTTTTTAGTTAAGATACGCATATTGTTTCATTTAGACGTAATTCTGCTGCATACTGACATGGTTTGGCTGTGTCCCCACCAAAATCTTGAGTTGTAATTCCCCTGAATCCCTACATATCATGGGAGGGACCTGATGAAAGGTAACTGAATGAATGATGGGGGCGATTCCCCCATTCTATTCTCGTGATAGTGAGCAAGTTCTCACGAGATCCGAAGGTTTTATAAGCGGCTGGCATTTCCCTGCTAGCACTCATTCTCTCTCCTGCCGCCCGGTGAAGAGGTGCCTTCTGCCGTAATTATAAGTTTTCTGAGGCCTCCCCAGCCATGCGGAACTGAGTCAGTTAAACCTCTTTTCTTTATGAATTACCTAGTATGGGGGATTTCTTCATAGCAGCTTGAGAGCAAACTAATACACACACATAATAGACTGCGTAGTGTAGACGTTACTTCTCTATGCACTCAGAAATTAAAAGTTTTATGTGCCTGGCTTTATTGGGGATATCTGTTTACTGCGGTGCTGGAACTGAATCTGCAGTATCACTAAGGTGTGCCTGTAGTCGCGATGTTAGCTATGTATCTTGGTACAGTCGAACACAAGGGTGGCACATGGTAAGGGAGGAGAGCAGCGTGTTTTCAGATGCATTACTCCATGCGACACTCTTAAGAAGCCTGGGAGTGAGCTGCGTCTCCCTAGAGCAGATGGGGAGTGGAGCCGCATATGGCCCATGCTGTCTCCTTTAGCCGGGTGCTGTTGATTAATGAACCTGGTCAAAGTTTCACCTTTACTCAATAACAGTGTTTTTTCTAAGAGAAACAAGCATGAAAACATCACAGAGAGTTAACTTAGAGGCCACGGTCATTTTAATTGATTAAATGGTTGTGTTGTAATTCAAATGATAAAAACGTACTTCCTCTTGTTCCCAACCTAAGTAACTTTAAACACTGTATAAACAACAGAACAGTTCCGTTGCTAAAACTCCCGAATGTCTGCGCGTGCTTTGTGACATTCTCTTGCTTCCCTCTGTGCTGTCCACTGGCCTCATGACTGGTCGCTCCTTCTTTGTTTCTCTATGTGCCTCGCGGGCTTTGGGCGCTCCTTGTTTCTGCATCGGAGTGCACGACTGACCAAGGCAGGTGCTCCCGCTCCCCTGTCGGTGCAGTGGATGCACCCTCACCTGACCTCCATGTGTTGGAGCCTTAGCACACAGATCCCTTCATCACCTCCTAAAGCCGTCAGGCTTCACATAGGAGGAGTGCTCAAGGCCACTGGGTGCATCCGACCAACCACGAGTCTTATCTGAGCTCAGACCTGCATATGCTCATTTTACAGTCATTGTGCAATATGCAATAGAACACTAGCCCTAGAAAAACTGTGAAGAGAGAGTTGTTTCTGTGAAAAATTAGTTGAATCCTTTTGAAAAATAGGTATGACTGCTAATTGAATGGTTTTGAGAAAAGGCTGATACGGTAGCAGCGTTCTTGGCCCTCTGATCTCATCAAGGGCAGGAGGGTTAGCATCAAGGGCAGGAGAAACTTACAAAAATCTGGAAAGATTCTACCCTCAAATTGCTCTGCAAGCATCTGCAAACCTTTTATTTCACTTAAACGGTCCCCAGCTGATCACCAGAGTTGAAATACTGTGGGCATGTTTAATGCAAGCAAAACAAAGAGTTCTAACCATCCTCAGTAAAGAAAGATCTTGGTCTACTGTACAAGAGTCGTGTCTTTG